ACAAACACCCATACCTTTAACGCTACTCTCTTGAAACAGTATTTTTATTACGCCCATAATATTCTTTCCTTGTGCCTTTGAGATATATAGTGGAGCTGCCTCCCTGTGTACTGAACATCTGACAGTCCTACTTGTACACATAGGCCCTAGACAGAGGGGTAAGCACTGCTTCCTAAAAGCCAAGCAGGTTTTTCAGACAATTCTGCAAATCTGGACATTATGCATTAATAATACAAAAAAATAACACATGGCCATATGATTACTTCACTTTATTGTGAAATAAAGTCACAAGATGTAGACTTCTGCAACTGGAGATTAGGGCTACCTACCAAACAGATCATTTTTGCAACCAGATGTAGCGCACATATTAATTATTTTTCTTCCTTTCAAAGGTTAGGATTTGGATTACTCTAAGGGCCTTTCCAGATTTTGATTATCAGAGATAAGCTGAGAAGAATAAAGAGGGGACACCGGTCTCGAATCATTCTGGGAGTACAGATCTCTTATGAAATCAATCACGAACAATAAGCCTTCTCCCCTTTCACTCCACACTAGGAACCATCAGTTTCTTTCTCACAGAAACCCTCACTAGAGGGAAGGCTGATATCAAATTCTAGTTCCCATAAAACTGCGTGAAGAGGGACTCAGGCTCAGGATGTCCATGCCAAGTACTAGACCAGTACTTATCTGTAAAACTGCCTTTTTTTTTTCTTGGTAACAAGCAACGATCTAACTGATCAATATCTTTTGGCACTTGATTATAGATGACCATCCAGAACATCACAAAAACAAAAAAAGAAATAGCAGCAATGAAAGAGAACAGATTTGAAGACTGAGTCAAAACCTGGTTTTAAGCCTGCTGTAGGGAACAAGGAAGAAAAAGACAGACAAATATATACAAAACGAATAAAAACACTGCATATTCAGAACTTCTGCTGTGAAGGGTAACATCATCTTCATTATTGTACTTCCCGTCCCTCCAAGTTTTTGCCAAAGGTCCAATCCCAGAAGTAGCATACCTAGTTTGCAAGAAAACTAGTGTATCTGAAATAGTTCTCCTACATGCAACATTACCCTTTCCGTTTATGAACACTGACTTTGCATTTTTCTAAACAATAGAAAATTACTTTCTTGGGAACAGTTTTAAACCTACTGTCACCACCACAAACTGCCTTATGCTCAGCATTATAGTTCAACATTTAGCAACTTAAATCATGAACAACAAAAAAGACATTAATCTACAGCATATGCAGAGAAGTTGGTACAATCTGCTAAGTTTTAGAAGAACTGTTATTTGTTTGCTGATTTATTTAGTTCTTTGTCACGAAGCTGTATGTCAGAAATCCTCAGCTCAGGTCTGAAGTTCTAGTCCTGTTCTACCTCCTAACAAGACCTTTTTGATGCCTCTGATGGGGAACAGGGAGGTAGTACTTTATCTTGCTGTGGCTCCTTATTTTAACAAACATGAAGGAACCTGCTGTGGTACCTTTCATCGAAGCCATTACCTTCTCATAGTACAAAATAGAAGTCGATAGAAAAAGTTGTGAAAGTGGAATACTCAGTAGACACAGAAAACTGAAAACATTCCTAGTCAGGGGGAGAAATCGCACAAGCACTAAGTCTAGCAAGTGAAAGAGAATGCATACCAGGTGGAAAAGATTGATATAATGAAGAGCAAAATGAAGTGCTGTAATAAATATATAAATTAATAAATAACCACAATAAGACACACAGAAAGAAACTCTTATAAGCAATATATGGCTTCCAATTTAAGGCAAGGATTCCATTTCTAGCATCACTTTTTCACGTAAGCTGCACACCACTAATGGCAACTACAACAATCACAAATGCAAATGCATATGGAATAAGAAGAGTCCATTAGACAAGTAGTGCATACTATGGAAATATCTAAAAACTCACAAGCTAGAAATTAAGAGTCTGCTTATGAAATCAGGTTTTGCTTCTGGAACTATCAGCTCCATTTCCATTTAAAAAGGAAACAAACTGGCAAATCAAACCCTTAAAAGCTGCTCTTCAGAACAGAACTCTAAGAAGATTTGAAAAAGAAGCTTCAATTGTCATTCCACAAAAAGCAGCCATGACAATAAAGTAGGCGTAGTCCTTGTCCAACACATCTTCCTAGTCCACTGTTTCCATCACAGTAATGCCAGCACGGTTGCCCATTGCATCACACAGCGATCAAGCTGAAGAACCAAGTCAGTTGTGAAATAAGGTGGTAAAAGCTGGGGAAGGAGGGGCTGCATTTTTCTGGCAGGTGGCCTCCCTGATCCGTTTTCACTGTGCAGCTGCACAAACAGCTGGACTAGCAAAACAACCAGGACAATATAAAGATACAAGTAACAAATATCTACTCAAGATATCATTGCTGCTGAAGAAATGCACTTGGACTTGCAATCTAAATGAAAACCATTCACTTAAAAAGGTATCTATAAGATTTTGTCCAGTTCAATAAAAAAATTCTTAGCTAATCAACAGAGCAAACATAGGACAGAATACAGTTGAAGCCACTGCCCCCTAAAATGGAACAAAAGTCAACATTAGAACCAAAACCAACAAAGTATTCATGGGGACAGGGGCAGTATCTTATTCTGTACTTAGTTTCTATACTAATCTGAAATTACTCCTAGGTTTTTTTGGCTGGGGATTTTTTGTTTGTTTTTAAACTAGGTGCCTTTTCCCTCTGTCCAGTATTCACTATTACAACACTAGTAACTTTCTTTGCAATTCCAGGCAAAGGTTAAATGACACCAGCTTAAACAGGTTTGTTTTCCAAGCAATTTATTCACCTCGGAAAGACAAGGTGGATGTCTATTCCCTCTACATGAACAGTCAGTCAATTGATGCTTTGAGTTCTCTCACAGAAGCCTCACTTTCCTTGCATACTAACCAATACAGGCGGCCATTAACAATTGTTCTCATAATTGGTCCAGATTTGCTTTTTTTTTTAATGCTGAAAATCACTTTACTAAACATGCATTACATCCTTCTTACGTGTTTTAGAAAGGTAAATGATAAAACCTCTGCCTGTTTCATCAGTTTTCACACCACCTACAGGTGGTTTGATTGTCCAGGAACAACCAGTTCTCTAGAAGTCACTTCTTTTTACATTCAGATCACAGTACAGTACAACTTCCGTCTATTATCTATCCCAAGATGACCACATTTTCGCAATTTATTTTACTGCAAATATTACTCATACATATTTGTAGACACAGATAAAGTTGGACAGCTGGCTCCGTTTAACTCACTGTACTACTAAGATAGTATATTTGTAACACTTACTCAATATAAGCTGACATAGTGACAAAAAGAAAAATTTCATCCTTTTCCCCATCTTGCAATGCTTCCTTCTCTTGTGTTGATGAGAATTAGGTGAACTGGAAATTCAGTTGGGGAATTCCATTTTAAAAAATCCAGTCCCAGAATGTTGGTCTTAATCTCAATTCCCTGATTTGATTCATCGCACAAGAGCTTGTTTCACATAAAGGAAAGGAAGCACAAGAAATAAGCCACCCTGCGTAAAAGATGATGTTTCTTTCAGCAGTAGTACTACCTTATGTCAGCTCAACACGTTCCTCAAACGACTGCCAAAGCTGTATTATCTGCCACTGCTAAAGCAGAATAAAAACTCATACCTCAATAGTTTATTAAATCTATCATTAGTCAAGATGAAATCAGAGACAACTGTAGTACATTGTACACAGCATTTCACGTAATCATTGAAAAACTGTTTCACACTTTAATTTTCCCAATTACTGTTTTAAGGGTCCTGTCTTGATTGTCTCTCTCACTTAAATCAACAGACAAAGCCACAACATTTACTTCTCAAGTTACATTTAAATAATTTCAAAATGCTTATGTGCGACATGAACATCACCCTCTTTAAAGTTTTGATAAAGATTTTTTTCAAGTTTCATTAATGCCACTAACCGAACATTCAAGTGTGCTCAGTTACACTACTTGTCAAAACTATGCAGATAATCAAGAGATATATACACGTACTTTTAAAAACTTACGACTAGAGAAATGTGCCTGTTTGTAAGTTAATGCCTCCCTGCACAATTTAGTGGCTGTATAGTCATTGCATATAGCATTACAAATGCTTCTGCTTTGTTACAGAGTACAGTATTTCCATTTTGCAGAAGTGTAATTTATCTTGAATAAAAACTAACAATTAATCGGTGATGAATTCAAGCATTTACATTCTTAAACAGTGGACAGTTCTAAGGAAAAGGTCCTCCAGTACCGAGATGGTCTGTTACCTTTCTCTCCCTTCCCCACTGCCAAAGCATCGCTTCTTCAAAGCCCAAATCAAAACTTCCATTAATCATTCAAGGAAGGAATTTAAGCATCAGCTACTAGCAGCTATACTGACAAAGAAACATAGATCAAGGCCTTAAACAGAAGCAGATGTAAGAATTAATCAATTTCTAATTCCATAAATGAAACATTATCAACCTTTAAAAATAACTCCAAATAACTTAGATGTGGTCTCACCCTTCTTCCTTTTTTTCAAGGGTCTGTTTTGAATAATTTTAGCGATCTATACTGTTCAGCCTGTTCCAGCAACAAAAATGAGTCAGGGATGTGGGTTAGGATATCTTCAGCTTAGGTTTTGTTCTTTCCACACACATTTCACACTGACTCTGGCTCACACTCTTCATACCGTCCCGTTCACACTGCCACTGTGCCCACACCTCTCTTTTCAAGACATCTCCATTTAATTCTGCATGACACCATCGCATCACATCTTCCCCTTACTCCAGCAGACTTAAAGTGTACTCATTCCTCTAGTTTAGATCTCCAGTTTGATCTTTGTTATAAAATTCACACTTTAATAGCAGGAACTAATACATCCAAGTGATGTTCCACTGAAGTCTACAAGAGAGCTTTTACTGTTGTTGGAATTTTTTTTCATTTTTTAACTGGTAAAAGACAGCAAATATTTGAGAAATAGCAACACAATAAGCTTTACTTACCTTGAAAATACCAACCCAGTCTTTCTGATGAGGATGGATAAACTGGGTCAGAGTGTAGTGACATTCAAGGTGTGTATTCGGAAGATAACTTTTTGCCACATTTTGAAAAATCACATGTGCAAAATTGGAAGTCTGCAAAGTGTTAGCTGAAGACGGAACTTCTTGAAAGGATGACATGATTGATCTGTAACAAAATCGGAGAAGCTGCTGCTTCAATACAGTGGAAAAATTAGTTAAGTTACAAAAATTACTCTCTCTGAAATATACAAGGCAGAGAAACCTAACAATTAGTTCCTCTGTTCTGAAAACAGATAGCTATAGACGTAAGTCCACCAAAGCGCACTGCCTCAGCATCACTCCAAATCAATCGCCTCTCAGAATAAAAGGGCAGTCATTTCAGCGATGACATCAAGATGGAGAGAGAGCACTGCTTAGCTAAATGCCCCCAGTATTGCATCTCAGACACAGTGGCAGAAAGTGGGAAATAAAAGTGGTGGTGTGAAAACAAAGCAGGGTTCTAACTTAATGAAATATTCTTAATGGTTCTGGATGTAGCAGGGAAGGAGAAACAAAGCTCTGTGATTTCCCTACTTTAAACTTTTCTCAGAATCTGTACCGCTCAGTGCTTCTGACAGCACTTTTATATATGAAGTTTTCCTTCCCTTCTCAGTAAAAGTAACAAAGTTCCATCTTAAAACATTTTTAAAAAACAAGAAAGTTTATCTAAACAGGAGGGTTTTGTTTGGGTTGGTTTGTTGGGTTTTTTTTCTCCTTCTTCTTCAAAAGAGTTCTCTTGCTTGTTTAGCAGCCTGTGGGCATCTTTTACCGTTCTCACTGTAACACATATGCTCTCAGTCCTGCATGTTTAGCTACATTACCATAAACAATGGACTTCATTGATAGCGGGAATGTTTAGGTATGCATGCAGTTTGACGGATTAACACTAATTAGTTGGCCTGCAAAAGGTTTTAATCATGCTTTACATTCACCACCTCATTCAGGATACATAGTGCTAAAAATTACAGCAATGCAAGACGCTTCACAAGTAGAACACAAATGTTCCCTCCAGAGATTCAGCAATATCTGACAAAAATATAAGATGTGTAGAACACAAATGTTCCCTCCAGAGATTCGGCAATACCTGACAAAAATATAAGATGGGCAACTGAGAAGTTTCAAGTGTCTGATTTCAATGTACAATCACAACTTTGTTAAAACATTTGACATTAGGAGGATTGGGGCCTTATATATCTAACAGGTTTCTAGAAAGATGAGCCAGCAATTGCACGAATAGGATATTAAAAGTAATTTTATACTGACCAAGCATATTCACATCTTCAGTGAGATAACTGCCAAGTGTGTGACATAATATATTACTCTCATTGAAGATACATGTGGAAACCAATCCCAAAAAGGGACAGGCCACTGCAAGTCTCAAGAAGTTCAAAGATTAAAGGCTGTCTGTGTATTTCCTATAGCATTTTAAAATTTCTTTTCACCTGTCAAAAAAAAAAAGGCAGCAAAGAGCTCATGTTTTCTGAAATAAAATGCACTCTGATGTAAACAGGTATTTATCATTCAAAACAAGGAAAAGGTAAAGAGGGATGTTTTAGATTTAAGCCCTCAATGTTTTAAGCTTATTACTGCCCACTTTAGTGTAATACATGAAGTACATACAGGCAGCCATGACATTATTTTGATGTATCAGATGTTAAACACAAAGCAGTTTTGTACCCTGAACATCACAAGTAATAAGATAAAATGCCAAGCTTGTAAAGATTAACAGATATAAAGGACAAAACTAAAAACGCACATAAGGAAGAAATTGAGTAAAGATCGAAAGAAAGCTTTTTAGAGACATTAGAGTACACATAAATCCTATCTGTTATCTAGCTTCAGAGTCCAGAAGAGCATAGGAAATTTTACGGCACAGTAAAACCCTGAAAACTCCCCCACCTCTCAAAACAGAGGATTACACTTAAGACATCTCTCAAACACACTCTGAACTATAAATGGTGTGAAGCAGCAGTTTCTACAATTCTAAAACAAATAGAATAGCCTTAATTTTTTCAAGTGCAACAAATTCATTAATTTTCAGTAATTTAGTAGTACCTGAAGCCAATTACTGACATGAAACAGACTGTTTCAGTTTTCATTACTCATTATAAGCACAAAAAAATGTAAACAAAGCATTAATAACAAAAACAACTGAATTTAACTTTTTTTTTTAAAGTTTATTTTAAAAATCGGATAGTTTATTCTAATCATACATTACAAAAACCACCACCAAAAAAAACAGCAAAAAAACCCCCAAACATTCATTTCTGCACACTGGTTGCCAGCTACCACAGCTGAGTACCAGCCTTAGTGAAACCAGGGAGGCTGGTTTCCAAGCCCAAAGCAGAACTATTCACAAATCTGAACTTGTGCAGACCAGCAGAACCATCTGGGATTACTGTTCCCCAGCAGGAAAATCCCCGGAGCTTAGGTGAAGCTGAGATCTACTTACAGTTCAAGGATAGTTTAGGGGATGCTGGGTGCTTGCTTACTTAGCTCATAGCTACCGGCTGGGAAAGGAGAGAAGTAGAAGAAGGAGGAAGAGCTACGCTTGGGCTTCATTACTGACATGACAAGCGATTCCCTCGAGGAGACTAAACGACGCGTCTGGTCTTACGCACCGAAAAGCGCGGAAGGAGGAAAAGCTCGTCAGGCAGGAAAAACAAAAGCA